GTGGAATTTCTTTTTGTTTCTTTCGTTTTTGTGTTTATCGAGACTTTATGTTTTTCTTCTTTATTTTGATGAGTAGGTTTGCTAACTTTCTCTGTAGTTACCCTGAAATTTACCCCTATCTTCCTAAGTTTGAACCAGTCTTTTATTACTGATTATCACCTTAACATCATCTCCATTTGAAAGTTCTATACCTACACCGTTTATCGTTCCCTTTTATTGTTCTTATGTTTTGTCATTTACAGACTGATGTCTATGGTTCCCTGTTGTAAATCTTTTAGTTTTGTTTTATCCTTGAGAATTCATTACCTAGGATGGTATCTGGCTGATGCTGTTCTGTGTCCTAGATTCAGGTTGTTGTCTGATGTTCTTGGTTCTCTAACTGAAGGACTCCCTTTAGTATTTCTTGTAAGTTTGATTTGGTTTTTACATATTCCCTTAATTTCTGTTTATCTGGAAATGTTCTAATTTTGCCATCATATTTGAGCGAGAGTTTTGCAGGATATATTATTCTTGTTTTTTTTTCAACAATGGACTTTATTTTTTTTTTTAATTTCGTTACAGTTTTCTTTTTATTGTGCTTTAAGTGAAAGTTTACAATTCAAGTTAGTCTCTCATGCAAAGATTTATATATACATTGTTTTGTTACCCTAGTTGCTCTCCCTATACTGTGACAGCACACTCTTCCTTTCTACCCCGGATTTCTCGTGTCCGTTCAACCAGCTCCTGACCCTCTCTGCCTTCTTCTTGCCTCTGGACAAGAGCTGCCCATTTAGTCTCATGTATCTACTTGAGCTAAGAAGCACACTCTTCATGAGTATCATTTTATGTTCCATAGTCCAGTCTAATCTTTGTCTGAAGAGTTGGCCTCGGGGATGGTTTTAGTTCGGGGCTAAAAAAGAGCCCGGGGACCATGTCTTCCAGGGTCCCTCCAGTCTCAATCAAACCATTAAGTCTGGTATTCTTACTAGAATTTGATTTTTGCACCCCACTTTCTCCTCCTCTGTCAGGGACTCTCTGTTGTGTTCCCTGTCAGGGCGGTCATTGGTGGTAGCCAGGCACCATCTAGTTCTTCTGGTCTCAGGCTGATAAACTCTCTGGTTTATGTGGCCCTTTCTGTCTCTTGGGTTAATACTTTCCTTGTGACCATGGTGTTCTTCATTCTCCTTTACTCCAGTTAGGTTGGGACCAATTGATGCATCTTAGATGGCCACTTACTAGCTTTTAAGACCCCAGACACCACTCACCAAAGTAGGATGCAGAACATTTTCTTAGTAAGCTTTGTTATGCCAGTTGACCTAGATGTCCCCTGAAAGCATGGTCCCCAGACCCCCACCCCTGCTACTCTGTCCCTCAAAGTGTTTGATTGTATTCAGGAAACTTATTAACTTTGGTTTAGTCCAGTTGTGCTGACTTCCCCTGTAGTGTGTGCTGTCCTTCCCTTCACCTGAGATAATTCTTGTCTACTTTCTAGTTAGTAAATACCCCTCTCCTAGGATATATTATTCTTGGTTGACAATTTTTTTCCTTTTAAGGTTTCATATACATCATCCCATTGTCTTCTTGTCTGCATAGTTTCTGCCCAGTAATTTTTTGTTTTATTGTTTCTCTTTTGTATATGACTTTTCGTTTTTCTCAAGCTGCTCTCAGGATCCTTTGTCTTTGGTTTTGGCAAGTGTGATTATGATATGTCTTCGTGTCTTTTAGGGTCTATCATATGTGGGGTTCATTGAGTTTCTTGAATGGTCAGCTTTTCATCTTCCATGATATTAGGGAAGTTTTCCGTCAGCAAATCTGCAGTAAACCTCTTTGTGTTTTCTATTTTCTCCCCCGTTCTGGAACTCTGATCACATGAAAATTTTTGGTCTTAATTGTGTCACAGATAATTCTTAGGTTTTATTCATTCTTTTCTCTGATTTTTCCTCAAAGTGGTACCCATGGATTTGTCTTCAATTTCACTGATCCTGTCTTCCATTGTTTCAAATTTGTTCCTAAAACTTTCTATTGCATTGTCTATTTCTGAAATCTTGTTTATCTTTTGGATTCTTAATTGCTGTTTTTGTATGATTTCTAATTGTTTACTTATTTTGAATTTTTTTCCTGTATTATTTTCCTGAATTCTTCCATTGCTTTCTCTGTTTTCTCTAATTTTGTCTGTATTTTCCAAGATTTTGTCTATTTTCTCCTTAGTTCTGTCTGTTTTCCTTCATCTGTTTTCTAATCTCTTGGAGATAGGAAATATTAGATTTGTGAATTTTCTACCAGGTAGTTCTAGTGCCTTTTTCTCCTACTGGAAAGTCATCTGGTGTTTCATTTTGGTGGCTTACTGGATCCATCCTGTCCTGTTTTCTTATATGTTTTGATATTGTCTGTTGTCTCTGAGACATTCAGGAATTATTTTTTTTGTTTACTGATTGTAGGTTTGCTTTTTTCATCTCGCTTTTTTGTTTTATTTGGTTATGTCTGGGTGGGTAGGCGGTGAGTGTTTTGTTGCTTGCTTGTCTGGGTATGATAGTTCTCACCACCTTGTCCAGGTGAACAGGGCTGGTCACTCAGCTATGGTGCAGCAGAGCAAGTCCAGCAGGGCAGTGGTGGGGCAGGGATGGGTCGTTTGTGGCAGGGACCAGGGCTGGCGGGGTGGGCCTGGGGTGGTGTGGCAGGGTAGAGTCAGAGGTCTGGAGGTCCATGCCAGTCCTGCATGGGGGTGTGGCACTTGGCAGAATGGGGCCGGGGGTGACACGGGGTGGGGGTCTGGGGGTCTGGAGGTCCACGCTTGTCCCACTGAGGTGCACAGTGCTTGGTGGGGTGGGTCCTGGGGCAGCATGAGGTGGGGTCCAGGGGTCTGTGCTACTACTGCTCAGGGTACAGCACTCTGCAGGGTGGGGGGGGAGCAGTGTGGGACCACGTCCAGAGGTCTACGCAGGTCCCATTTGGGAGCATGTCGCTCTGTGGGGTGGGGCCTAGGGACTGTGTGGGCAAGGTCTGGGTGTCCAAGGGTCTGTGCCAGTCCTGCTTGGCTGGGTGGGGCTGAGGGGCAGCAGAGAGTGGGGTCTGGTGGTCCATGCTCGTCTAGCTTGGGGGCATGGTGTTTGGCGGGGCAGGCCAGGGGCGCACTGGGGCAGGGGCTGGGTTTGCACCAGTCCTGCTTGGAGGTGTAGCACTCAGCAGGGCGTGGCCCAGGGACGGCACAGGATAGGGTCTGGGGGTCCATTCCGGTGCCACTTAGGGGCATGGTGCTTGGTAGGTGATGTAGAGAGGCAGGAGGGAAGGGAGAGGATGTGATATACAGAGCTAGGTGGGAGGAAGAAAGAAAAGAGAGAAGAGAAAGAAACAAAAGCAAAAAAAAAAAAAAAAAATATATATGGCAGTGCAGCCGGAGCCGGCGGATGCAGGCAGGGCAGACCCGGGGAGGCCGTGTGCTGGTGGCTCTCTAGCTGAGTCATGCAGCACAGCCTGTTGAGAAAGGTGGAGGCAGAGCATGGGGCTAGGTGGACAAGAGAAAGGAAAGGAATGAAGGGAAAGAGAGAGAAGAAACAACAACAGCAAAAATATGGTGCTGAGGGAACTGGTTGTTGTGAGTAGGGTGGAATCGGGGTGACAGTGAGCTGGTGTTTCTCTTGCTGGGGCGGTGCAGCACAGCCTGTCAGGAAGGGGTGGATGCAGCACAGGGGGCTAGGTGGGAGGGAGAAGGAAGAGGAAGAAAGGAAAAGTGGGGGGAAAAGGGTGCGCTAGGGGAGCCAGCTGGTGGGGGCAGGGTGGACCCAGGGCAGCAGTGAGCTGGTGTCTCTCCAGCCGATTGACCGTGGGCCACTGGAAAGTGGCAGAGGCAGGATACAGGACAGAAGAGTGAGGGGTGGGAAGGCGTGTATCTCTGGTTACCAGGTGCTCTGCCTCCTGTTGGGAGCTCTGTGAAGTTGCCTTCCCATACTCCGTCTGTGGTCATTACTGGCTGAGCTCCAAGACTGCAAAGCCATGCTGTGTTAGTTGGCCAGGGACCTGCACTCTGTAGTTCTCCTCGTTTTCTGTTTCCTGTTAGTTTCTTCTTCCATTCGGTGCTTGATCTAGTTCTTTATCCCGTCATTTGGTGCTTAGGGTTCCAAGATGGATGCTTGTATCTGTCTTACTTAGTTTTTCGGGTCTTCAGAGGGATAGCATGGTGCTTCTGTCTATAGCACCATGTTGGCTCTGCCTCCCGGGTCTGTAAGTTCTGTGTGACTATTGTAACAAATTATCAAACCCAGCAGAGAAGAAGAGAGTGCCATGGGGAGGACGGCTGGTGTCAGAACTGATGAAAAGTTTGGAGGGTGGAGTTATGTCTGACCTCTACCTCACAGGCATCAGCCTTGGACTGATCTTGATTTGTATTTTCCTCCCTGAAGTTAGACAGGTTCTGATGATACTACTACCATTTTACTGGATGTGACCTCTGTTCTCACTAAGCACACACACTGTTAAGTAGAAAGCACTTAGTAATTTAATTTAAAATGAAATCATAGTAACGCTGTATGATACTAATAAAACATAAGCAGGCAGGTTATTGGAGTCCCTGGGTGGTGTAAATGGTTAATGCACTCAGCTACTAAAGCTGCTAACGGAAAGGTTGGAGGTTTGAGCCCACCCAGAGGTGCCGCAGAAGAAAGGCCTGGCGATCTACTTCTGAAAAATCAGCCATTGAAAACCCTACGGAGCACAGTTCTACTCTGACACACATGGGGTTGCCATGAGTTAGAACTGACTTGATGGCAACTTTTTTTTAGGCAAGCTATTATTACCAAGGTCAGATGAAAAGGACTTTTTCTTTTATTTTAAGACAGGAAATTAAAAAAATGTTGGGAATTAAATAATGTATTTTTAAAGGAAATATTTTAAAAGTATTCTAATCTTTCTTTATGAAAAAAAAATTCCTGTTCTGATTAATTCTCCTTCTGTCTTACTAATGGTAATGTGAAATTAAATGTGAAAGACTTCTTAAGTAACACACTCAGATAGGACTGGTGCCTTGCCTTCCTGTTCTCCCTTTCCTCCAAAGCTTCGAGGTCCCCTTTCAACTTCTGACTCTCTTTCAGTGCTGCATCGCGGCAACTCACTGCTAGAGAGAGCTCCTCTTCATTCTTTTCAAGAATGGATTTCACCTTAAAAAAAAGAAATGGTACATAACTTTTCCAAAACACAATGAATCAGTGATTAGAATATGACACAGCAATTTAGAAACCTGACTTGAAATGCTCCATTAAATATTTATCCACTACTATATATATATATATAAAATCAGCTTTATTAGCTGCTTATCCCTTTAAAGAAAGCTACAAAACAAAACAAAATTTGTATAAATAAACACGGGCAAACCTAATATATTAATCAGTCTCCATGAAAGACTAGTATAAGGATAGGCAGAATAAGACTATCTATGAAGCTGAGATGTAAAATAGGGAAACGATTATTATGGAACTAGCTTCTTTTGAAAATATAACTTAAATGCCTGAGTTAATATAATAAAAGCTAAGCTGAATAAATATTAAATAGCACCAAAAGAGTACTCTTACACCAGAATGAATCCTAATTAGAAACACGAGAACTTTATATCCCTGAAACACTTTTAGTATATCCGTTCAGTCATCTCAGATGATCAACATACTATTTTAAATATTACTTTTAAATTTTTTATTTTTAAATAATTATAGATACATATGGGGTTGCAAAAATAGTACAAACAGTCTCAGGTGCCCTTCACCCTACTTCTAATGGTGACATATTACTGTAGTATAATATCAAAATGAGGAAATTGACATTGGTGCATTACTGTAAACTAGAGTAACTACAGAATTTATTTAGTCTTTTTCTTTTTTTAATTAATTGTTTTCATTGTGGTAAAGATATATATAACAAAACATTTGCCAATTAAACAATTTTTGTATGTCTAATTCAGTGCCCCCCACGTGTCTGTCAGTTTGTCATATTGTGGGGGCTTGCGTGTTGCTGTGATACTGGAAGCTATGCTACCAGTACTCAGATACCAGCGAGGTCACCCGGGGCGGACCGGTTTCAGCTGAGCTTCCAGACTAAGACAGACTAGGAAGAAGGACCCGGCAGTCTACTTCTGAAAAGAATTAGCCAGTGAAAACCTGATGAATAGCAGTGGAACATTGTCTGATATAGTGCCAGAAGATGAGCCCACCAGGTTGGAAGGCACTCAAAATACAACTGGAGAAGAGCTGCCTCCTCAAAGTAGAGCCGACCTTAATGACATGGATGGAGTCAAGATTTTGGGACGTTCATTTGCTGATGTGGCAACGACTCAAAATGAGAAGAAACAGCTGCAAACATCCATTAATAATCGCAACGTGGAATGTACCAAGTATGAATCTAGGAAAACTGGAAATCATCAAAAATGAAATGGAACACATAAACATCGATATCCTAGGCATTAGTGAGCTGAAACGGACTGGTATTGGCCATTTTGAATTGGACAACCATATGGTCTACTATGCCGGGAATGAGAACTTGAAGAGGAATGGCGTTGCATTCATCCTCAAAAAGAACATTTCAAGATCTATGCTGAAGTACAACGCCGTCAGTGATAGGATAATATCCATACGCCTACAAGTAAGACTAGCTAATACGACTATTATTCAAATTTATGCACCAACCGCTAAGGCCAAAGATGAAGAAATTGAAGATTTTTACCAACTTATTCAGTCTGAAATTGATCGAACATGCAATCAGGATGCGTTGATAATTACTGGTTATTGGAATGCAAAAGTTGGAAACAAAGAAGAAGGATCAATAGTTGGAAAATACGGCCTTGGTGACAGAAATGATGCCGGAGATCACATGATAGAATTTTCCAAGACCAATGACTTCTTCATTGCAAATATCTTTTTTCACCAACATAAACGGTGATTATACATATGACCCTCGCCAGATGGAACACACAGGAATCAAATCAACTACATCTGGGGAAAGAGATGATGGAAAAGCTCAATCAATATCATCAGTCAGAACAAGGCCAGGGGCTGACTGCAGAACAGACCATCCATTGCTCATATGCAAGTTCAAGTTGAAACTGAAGAAAATTAGAACAAGTCCACAAGAGCCAAAGTACGACCTTGAGTATATCCCACCTGAATTTAGAGACCACCTCCTCAAGAAAAGATTTGACGCGTTGAACACTAATGACCGAAGACCAGATGAGTTGTGGAATGACATCAAGGACATCATACATGAAGAAAGCAAGAGTTCATTAAAAAGACAGGAAAGAGAGGCGGCGTGGTCAACATGGCGGAGTAGTTAGATGCTTCCTATATCCCTCTTACAACAAAGACCTGGAAAAACAAGTGATTTGATTCTATGTGAATATCTGGGAGCCCTGAACAAGGCAAGGTTAAGAAATCAATCTGAGTGATACGGGAGAGGGAGATCATTTGGAAGAGGTGAGGAGGGCTAGAGCCTTGGCAGCAAAACTGCAGTGCCACAGCCACACTGGTCCACGGTGAAGCAGGCAAACGGCGGTGCTCTGTGCACACTCGGGAAGCAGTTTCCACATCGAGAGAGACCGAGCAGCAGAGATTCTGCTTGGACACTCAGAACCAGTGAAAAGCAGCTCCCAAGAGGCTAGGATAAGTACATGCGTGCACCCTTTCACGGGGATTTAAAAAAAAAAAAACCCATTTGGGATAAACCTCTCTCCCTTTTACCTCCTCCCTCCATGCTCTGCACCGGGAGTCCGCTGGGCTGGAAGTAGATCCCAAAAGGCGCCCTGACCCATTCTCCTGGCCTTGGAGAGGGAATAAATAAGCTGCTGGCTCCCCTAGGCCAGGAACACAGGGTTGGTACAACTCCTTTGCTGGGCACAGGTATCGGGGTCTGCAGACTCTGAGTGCCTTACAACCCTGTATAGACTTGTGGGGACCCATCTCAACCGTGTTAGTCCTCACTGCCACAGTACAACAGGGAAAACATCTAAAGTTTAACTTCAACTGCTTCAGCTGTGAACTGGCAGATTTGTGACCCTCGAAACAGCCCTGCCCCTTAAGTAGGCACTTTTATCGATCTGCAGCAGGGGCTTGAGGACTGGTGGTAGCACTTAAAGTGCCTAGTCACTTGCTACAGGAGTTCAAGAAAAAGTGGTGCCCTCGAGTCTTTACAGCCAACAGAGTGGGGTGTTCATAGTCCGGCTGCAAAACTCACCTACCTATTCACCCTAGAGAAGAGGGACACGCTTTCCTTTCAGACTCTCAGGGGCAGCCGTCAGCCCCCTGCCTGGCTGAGCGCGTGATCCCCTACCACAGCCAGAGTCCAGTGCCTGCACCAATCACCCATGCCTCTCTAGGACTGGGGGTGAGAGCCTGCATCCCACACTTCGTGACCAGCTGCCTGAACACCTGACCTGAACCCATATAGGAAAATTTAACGGACTCCTGTGTACACGTACTTAGTTACAGAACTAACTACCTGGTGACAGGACATTAGAGATCCAAACGTGTCGAAAATCAAACTAGTGCACATGAGCAGCCTATTTGGGTATATCAAAACAAAACAAAATAAGAAGCTAGGTCTCACTAAGTAAATACAAACTAAAATTATAATAAATTATTGATGGCTCAGAGACTATAGTCACTATCCAATCACATAAAGAGGCAGTCCATGATGGCTTCAGCAAGCTCCCCAAATAAAGAATCAATAAATTCTCTGGAGAAAAAGAACTTTTTGGAATTACCAGAGGCAGAATACAAAAGATTAACACACAGAACTCTTCTAGAAATAAGAAAGGAAATTCGACAGCATGCAGAAACATCCAGGGAACATACAGACACAGTAGTAGCAGAACTTAAAAAAGTTATTCAGGAACATAATGCCAAATTTAATAGGCTGCAAGGATCCATAGAGAGACAGCAATCAGAAATCCAGAAGATTAACAATAAAATTTCAGAATTAGACAACTCAATAGAAAGTCATAGGACCAGAACTGAGGCAGTAGAAGTTAGAATTAGTGACATTGGAGATAAAACTCTTGACACCAACTTATTTGAGGAAAAATCAGATAAAAAAATTAAAA